GTTCTCCTTTCCAGCTCCTCTCAGACCGCACTGGTCTTAGCTTGTCCTGCGGCGAACCTGACAGCCGCTGGCCTAGGAAAACGCTGTGCCCTCGGTGCTCCGTGCCCGGCCGCCCACAGGGCAGCACCCCGCCGGCTCTGTTGCCCGGTGGTCTGAGAGGTGGTTTATTGCGTGAAAAGGCGGGTCCTGTCTGCAAGGCACCCCATTCTCCCTCGAGGGCTGAGACCGCCTCCCCCTTCACCCGGCCGTGACCACGGTCACTGAGGTGCTGGAAGGGAGCTCGAGGCCCTCGCTCCTGCCTGTGCCCTGGACACCTTCAGGTCAAGCCCCCTCTGTTCCTCGGTGCCGTCATCTCTTGCCACCCTGGCTGCTAGCTGCCCTTTGCGGTCAGCCCTGAGCGGCCAGCCCCCACGCTCAGGGCTCCTGGCCTCGCTTCTGGTGCAGCAAGGGGGCTGCTCTCGGCCTGGGTGTGGCCCCCAAGCTCCCGCCGCCGCCGCCGCAGAAGCGAACACCGCGCACCGACCGGACCTCCAGCTCGTCGTCTGCGCCTCCCGCCCGGCTCCCGGCTCCCGGGCGCAGCCAGCCCTCCAGCGCTCGGGGCTGCGGTTTGGCCGCGGGCTTCTTGGACTCCTTCCTCTGCTGGAGAGAGGAGGCGTTTTCTCAGGGCCGGAGCCCCACATCCTGCTGAGGTGGGTGAGCCTGGGCGGGCTGTTCTTGCTCGAGGCCGAGGCTGGAGCACGAGGCCTGCAGGTGCAAGCAGAGGCTTTGGGGGAGCAGCGCGGTGGGTACCTCGCACAACCTGGGCTCCTCTCACCTGTACTTTCTGGTGTTCTGGGCTCAGGAAGCTGGAGCCCCCCCAGGTCAGGTCTGCACAGAGCACGCTGAGGAGCAGCAGGCAGCAGAGTGGGGCCGGGGAGAGCATGGCCGCGGCTGGGGGGACAGAGGGCTGTGGTAGTGGGCGGGCGGGGGCAGCCAGCCTGCCCCGAGCCCACGCTGCTGGGGTGCGGCGGCCCTGGAGACTTCCCCCCGGATCTGTGGGTGCTGCACTAGTGCTCCTGGCCCACCCCATGCCGGAGGGGCTCCCCAGGAGCTGTGCCTTTCCTTAAGGGGCTGATGAAGGTCCCTGGGGGCGAGGGTGGCGCCCCCCCAGCCTCTCAGCACCTGGTTGCCAGTAGTTCAGAGCGGCCGGCAGTCCGGGCAAGGGGCCGTCACCCCCACGCACAGAGCAAGAAGAGGGTGCCCACCTGGGGTTCGGGTGGCGCCCGAGGCTGCGGCCCTTTTATAGGAGGCACTGTTTGTCCTGGCCAGCAGCCCCGTGCTGGGAGGGAGCCGTTTACATTCCTTGGACGCTAGGACAGCCGCGCCTGGCGGAAGCTGACTGGCTGGCCAGCACTTTGCTCCAGCCCCCCTCCGCGTGGCCCCGCGCCTCTGTGGTTAGGTGGGAGCAAGGGGAGTGGCCTGCAGGGCCAGGCTGGCCGTGCTGCTCTGAGCGCTTGGCTTGCCCCCTTTCTGGAAATCTCTGCCCACCCCTGTCTCTTTCCTCGATGGCCAGGAGCTTTCCCGTGTCCCACCCTGCGGGTCTGACGTCGCCAGGTCCACACCAGCCTCTGGGGCACGGGGAGCCCGCCAGCACTTCTCAGGCCTCCCCGGTGGGGCTCCCCGTTCACTCCAGCCGAGGGAGCTGCCACAGGGCAGCGCCGGCTCCGAGGCGGCCTCCACCTTGTTCTCCGGGGTTCTGTGGCCAAGCCTGGTCCCCTCTGGGTGCGGCCTGAGGACTCTGTGTGGCTGTTTCCACTGTGTCGCCCATCAGGTTGCTCTGACCTGCTGGGCGCTTTGTGGTTCGGGCTGGACCTACCTGTTCACTTGCAATTGTTTGTGCTGCGAGTGTCACACCCCAGGTCACGTATTTCTGTTTTGTGAGCTTTATGGTTTCCGGTTTTACATTCGAGCCTTTCAGCCATCCATCGCCAGTTGGTTTCCCTGAGGGGTGTGAGGTAGGAGACGCCCCCAGGCCCACAAGACTCGCAGGCATGGGCCACGCCCGGTGTTCTAGAACGAAGAGCATTGCCATGATGGGCTTCCTCGCCGGCCAGCCTGCTGCACCTCATCGGATGCCCAGGTAGTGACACCTCAGGGCTGAGAGAGTTGTCTACAGCAGCTCTGGCACTTCAGCGGAGGGCTCGCTTGAGGTTGGGGCTGGGTGGGCTGAACCTCTTACTGAAAAATACCAAGTCCTGACGCTGGCTCCGGCAGACTGTCATGGAGGCACCAGCAGGGCGGGTTCGAGGCCGAGTAGAAGGCGGGACTGAGTCTGGGGGCTGAATCTGCTCAACCCAGCGGCGTCAGCGCGCCCTGGAGCCCGCCGGGAGTCAGCTTAGGTACGTGGGCCCCAGCGCCACAAGGGCAGAGGTGAAACGTGGGCGTTTGCTGAGTGACCACCCCCCCCAAACCAAACAACCCCAAACCCAACCATGGTGACCGGGCAGCTGCTGAGACACGAAGGGCCTGCTTGGTCCTGACCCGAGGCCTGTGGAGGCAGGGCCGCAGTGTTGATCTTAGATAACCCACCCACTGGCTGCGTTATCTTTGGAGACCTGGAAGGTCACCGGAGATGGAAACCTCCCTGACCACATACCTGGGAGTCCAGGCTGGCTGGGGAAGAGAGATTATCTCGTTCTTTCTAGTATTTATTACAGGTTTTTGCTGTGTGGACACCATGAGGCTCACGTAGAACAGCTTGCATGTGTAACAGTCTGTTTTAAGTTGGTAATAGCTAAAATTTGAACATATTCTAAAGTGCTAATTTTTACTCCCAATATTTTTTGTAAACACTTAAAATAGTTATGCATTTGAGAACTGTGGTACAGGTCAGCGGGGGTAGGGTGGGGCAGGGGAGGCTTCACGAGAGACAAAGCGGGGAGCAGAACAGGCGGATCCTCTGAAATCCAGTGCTTTGGGGAGCAGCGGGGACACAGGAGACGTCTGTGGCGCTCTGTGGTCCCTCCCTGGCCGGGGATTGAACTCGTGCTGCAGTGGCTGCAGGTAGCTTGATGGCGCGGAGACTTCCTGCTGCTTTGAAGCTTCTCTCCTTGTCTGGATTTTTGGCAAGTCATTGCCTTGCTGTGGGTCTCTTTTGGTTTTCCCATTTGGACCTCTCCAGTCTTCCTAGATCTGCACGTCCGTTTCCCTCCCCAGGTTAGGGACACGGGTAGCCATTCTTCAGTAGGGTTTTCTACCCCTTTTCTCTTCTGGACACCTGTGAGGCATTTGAATAGCCTGATGTTATGCCCCAAGTCCCTAAGCATACTCCCCCCCCCCCCTTTTATTTCTCATTCCGTTGCTGTTCTGATTGCATTTCTCCACCTCGTCTTTGAGCTCACGGTTCCCTTTCTTGTTCCATCTGGTCTGCTGTCAGGGATCATTTCTCAGATTTTTGACTTCTGTGTGGTACTTTCTTGTAGCTTCCTTGTTGACATTCTCACTGTGTTCATCTGTTGAGAAGAGTTTGGGGCACATCTTTATATTCATTGCTTCAGAATCTATGAAGTAATTATCACCTCCACTTCAGTTTTATTCTCTGTGGTTTTATCTTGTTCTTTCCTTTGGAACTTTCATTGTGCTTGGCTTTCTGTTCTGGTTTCTCACGTTAGTTGAGACAGCTGCTCCTCCCAAGTCTTGGTTGGCTGGGCCTGTGTGGCCGAGCCTCACCGCGTCCTGCCGCCTTAGACCTTGTCCCCTAACCTGGGTGCTTTGCTAAGCAGCCCACTTTGTATGTCAAGACCAGTCAGTTTCCTAAAGCTGTTTCATTTATTTTGTTTGGTTTTCTAGTTCTTATGGCTGTTAGTCCCTCTTGGGTGGACACAACTCTTTCAGCTCATTTTTAAAGGAAAGCCATGAATTAGCTCCTAGTCTTGACACTTCTTGTATAGTGGCCGCGGAGTTTTATTTTCAGAATGTGAATACTTAGTAGTACTAGTTTTTAATTTTAAAAAGATTTAAAAAATACATACAAGAGGGCCCTCCCTGGTGGCGCAGGGGGTTAAAGCGCAGCACTGAGAATCTAAAGCCGCTTCCACAAGAGTTCGATTCCCGCCTGCCCCGGAGGTGACCACATGGCACAGCAGACCTCTCCTGACCCGCCCGCTGCTCCCCTCAGCAGTGGACTTTGTCCATCTGCCTGTTCTGCTCCCCACTCTGTGTCTGGTGAAGCCTCTCACTGGCCCGAGCCTCTGGCCTGTACCCCAGTTCTGTATGCACAAATAAATCTTAAAAAAAGTGCTAAAAAAATACAAGAACTGGGGTACAGGCCAAGGTACCCCAGGGGGGAGGAGGATGTGTTTGAGAGGATTCACCAGAGACAGAGAGGGGAGCAGAACAGGCAGATGGACTGGAATACACTGCTGAGGGAGCAGCGGGGAGACGCGAGGTCTGCTGCACCCTGGGGTCACTCCCTGAATGGGGCTTGAACTCGGGCTACAGCGGCTGCCGGTATCTTCATAGTGCTGCGCTTTACCCTCTTGCACCAGGGAGGGGAGGGCCCTTTTAATGGAAATTCTTGGCTTAACTGGCTTACAGGGTTGAGATTGTTTTTGTGTGAGACGGGTTTAAGAGAACTGACTGCCCCTCTCACTTTGTGTAACCAGAATTTGAGATTACTCAACACTTACCTCATTTGGGAATGGCGACTGCCCTTTAGATTGCCACGTGGTCTTTCCACTTGACTAATTGCCGATGTTGTGGTAATGTAGATGGATTTCTCTTTCCCAGGAATGGCTAACGTGGCCACTCTAAACACAGACTGCAGCTTGTGGTGCTTTTTCTTTGGTGGTGTAACTAAGATAACACAAGGCCAGGAGCCCACTGGCCAGCCTGTGGCCTGTTCTGCTCACGCTGATTTGACGATAGTACTAGCCGCCGCGGGGATGGCCAGGCCTGCCCTGGGGGGCAAGCTCACGAGGGAAGGCAGAATGTGTGCAGAGCTGAGCAGGTTCCAGTGTGGGCTGCATTGCTGAGAAGTCCACAGAGGCGTCGCCTTCCTGGACACTGGGAGGCGGGAAGGAGTTTCTGTACTCGCAGAAAGCCTGGATTTTGTGGAACGTCTTGCGTGGCTCAGTGACCCTGGCCCTGTTTTCTCAGCTCAGGTGGCTCCTCCTCTTGCCTCTTCCGCATTATGACCCAAGATGTACTTACTAGAGGCGCTGCTGCTCGAAAAGCAGGCGTAGAGGCTTCCACTTAAGTCTTCTGAGGCAGGTGGTCTGAGGGGTATCTCAGCGCCCCGTGTCCAGTGTGGGCCTGGGTCACACCCTCCCTGACCCCACAGGGGGGCACCAATGGGGGAGCCGCAGGGCTCCACGCTGGCTTTGCATGTGACAGCAGCCTGCCGGGGCAGGCCAGTGTCCTCTCTAGGCTTGTCACGTGCCCCGTGTGGCGAAGAGCCCAGCAGGTCTCTGCCATGGTGGCTGCTGTTCTGACTGCTGTTTGAGGCGAGGGGCCCGGGGCTTCTGCTGAGAAGCGCTCTCCGGCTCAGCTCAGGGTCCGCTGGGTTAAGACCAGGGCCCCAGTCTGGACCACAGGCCCCTCTCTTCACTGACAGGGACCATGAGCTGGGCCACAGCTGTGTGTCTGGCCGTCTCAAGTTTGGTTAGGCAGTGGCCCAGCCCAGCACGTGGCGGGCGCCTCACAGGCAGGAGCGCGCTGTGGCCCTTCCACAGGGCAGACTCGGTAGTCCTGTCTGAGGCGGCTCTGTGCCAGAGAGGACGCTGCCCAGGGCTGCGCCCAGGGCCTGCACTATAGTGCCGCACCAGTGCTGCACGTCAGCTGCATCAGAAGGCGCTCACAGTGACACTCCCACGGCAGGGTTGAGCAGGCCGCGGAGGACCTGGGTCTGGTGGCTGTTCCTGTGCCAGCACGTCGACTGACAAGACACAGCTTCCTAGGGCCATGAATGCAGCTGTAGTTATAAGCAACATGAGTTTATTTAATTACTCTGAAAACAAAAGCTCCCAAATAATGCCGAAACCCGAAAGGTACATATAAATGGCCACAAGTATTTTAAAATAATAGATCTGACGATCATTTGTACTTTCCCCTGACGACATGAGGGCTTTCAGCCGGACAATAAATTACACACCACAGCAAGTCACGTTAAGGCAGATGGCCGGCCCGCCCGTGGTGCGTGCGTCCTGCTCTGGGAGAGGGGCCTTCCGGGCGGGGCCCTTCCCCGGCAGGCCGGCCAGCCGGTCCAGGTGGACGCAGGCATCACTGCTCGTTCTGCTGGCTGTCTGTGGCGGAGGCGGACACGGAGCCCTGGCCCTTGTTGACGTCGCTGATGCACACCCATTGACCGTCCACCGACTCCTTCCACAGGGTCACCTGCAAGCCAGGCACACACAGCCTGTCACGGCCTGCGCCCTCCGGGCTCCTGGGTGTGCTGCAGAGCGCAGGTCACCGTGCCGTGGGAGACAGCACTCGCCTCGGCCCCCGCTGAAGTCCCATCAAAATGTAAGTGAACGCGCACGCAGGCGGGGGGTGAACACAGCTCGGAGGAGCGTGCAACAGGGATGCTGCCCAGCCGGGCCGGCACCGCCGTGCTTCCCAAAGTGGGGTGCCCAGGCCAGAGCGCTGCATCACCTGGGAGCTGTCTAAGAGGGCAAGTCCTCGCGCAGCCCAGACCTGATGCGGCGCTCTGGGGAAGGGAGGCAGTCTGCTAACGAGCTCCACCACGCTCACGTTTGTGAGCTGGTAGAGAAAGCCAGCAGCAGGCCCGGGGGGGGGGGGGGCGCCCACATGCTGAGACTTGACCGTGTAATGCAGGCGCCTAGCATGGGGCGAGAGCTCCACTCTGCTTTCCAGTGGGCGAAGGGGTGTACCTTGTTGTCTCCGCCTGAGACGGCCAGGATGTTGGCGGTGATGGACCAGCTCACGTGCCACACCACATTGTTGAACTTGTGCAGTAGTTTCGGGGACCACGTATTGCCCGAGGCGTCATCACAGGTCCAGATGAACACGCGCCCATCCTGGAAGACCAGTGCGGCTCAGGCGAGGGCAGGGCCCGCGGTGCCGCCTCCAGCCATGCATCCAGCCTCGACGAGCCGCTTCAGCTCAGCGCCCCTATTTCACCACTCCATCAGGTTGAGGGCCCCCCCACCCTTCTCTGAAGTTTCCACCTCTAGGTGTCCTTGGGGCTTTCCTTCTGCTTGTCAAGCCACCTGCTAGGTCCAGCTTACTGTGGTTTCATTTCCCAACCAGGTCGTGGGCTGCCTAGCCAGCCAGCTCACAGAACGGGTGAAAGCCCCCTCTTGCATTTCCAGCCACAGAACAGCTCAAGGGCCATGAAGCCATGAAGCCCTTGCCCCTTAGTGTGCTGTCTGGCAAGAGCAGGCAGGCAGATCTTAGAATTTTCCACTGGTCCCGCTTGGCTTCAGTGGAGGAAAACGACTCATGGCTTGTGACCAGGACGTCACCTCATGAAGACCTGGCACCAAGCATACCTGTGGGTAAGGTGTCCTTATCGCTACCAGGTCTTGCGCTGAGGAAGACTGCCAGGTTGATGGGACTTTAGTGAGAAAATAACTCTGGGCTGCTGACCTGGGAGCAGCTGGCAATGGTGCTGGTGGGCAGGCCGATGGAGGGGGCCCAGGCCACGTCTCGAACCCAGTCGCTGTGTGCTTCCAGCTTCTGCTCCTCCTTCCACTGGCCGTCCTCCTCCTCCCTACGGGGACCACAAGGAGGATCTAGCAGGGGCCACCCGCAGCTCCATGGTGTGTGTGTGTGGGGGGGGGGGTGCTACGTGTCGGCCCTGGAAGATGAGGAGGGGCCCCCTAGAAGGGGTTCCATTTTGGTTTGGATGCTGCTCACAATCAGGGGAGGCGGCCCGAACTTTCGAGCTACTGACTGAGACTGAGCCTTCGAGCCCTCGAGCTAGCTACTGACTGACTTGACTGACTGACTGACTTGACTGACTTGACTGAGCTACTGGGGAGCCTTCGAGCCCGCTACTGACTGACTGAGCTACTGGGGAGCCTTCAGAGCTACTGACTTACTTCCACAGCTTGATGAGGTTATCACAGCCGCCCGATGCAAACTTCTTGACATAGTTGGGCCTCTGGCCTGATGGCTGGTC